TACTTTTAGAAACTCCAGGAACCACAAGTAAACCTGCAGTCTGAGAGTGAAGTGCTCTGTTAGGAAAATGTGGGAAAATAAGATGTTCAATATATGATGAAGACATGCGAGGTGTTCAGGATGTCCGTGAGGACATCAGAAATCTGTTCAGCACAGTCCTTCAGAACTCGTCCTGRGATGTTGTCAGGACCAGCTGCTTTGTGAGGGTTTGTCCTCTGGAGAGTGTTCCTCATTTCTGCTGGGCTCACGATGATGGGCTCTTCTTCTGGTGCAGGGTCAGGTGTGATGCTGGTGGAGGTGCTGGGATCCTCGAAACGGCTGTAGAACCTGTTCAGAGCATCAGGTCGGGAGGGGTCGTCAGGGCACTGTGCACCTCTGGTGTTATAGTCTGTGATGCATTTAATGCCCAGCCACAGCTGCGAGGGTCCTGGGTGGTGAAGTGGCCCTGGATTGGCGGCATACGCAGCTTTTGCCCGTTTAACTTCTAAATATTTGAACTTTATATATTTAAACTTTACTTTAAAATGTAACACCTAGTTACTCATTACAAAATTAAATATGTCTGAACGCCTCATGAAAGATGTTTCTGCTTTTTAAAAAATGAAGTGTTGAATTTACTCAACAAAGTYGTCAACTGGCTCCACTAAGCCTAGTTGAGTAAATTGAGCAAAGAATATACATATATTGATCAATTTACTCAACCTGGTTTAGTGGAACCAGTTTGGTTCAGTAAATTCAACAGTTTATTTCTTAGAGAGTGTAAAAGTACTTTTACTTTCCAAATTTTTGTGAAAAGTTTTATGACTTACTTGAGTAGTTTTCTCATCAGTGAAATTTATTTTTACCAAAGCCATTTTCTGTTCATGTAGTTTTACTTTTACTTGGTTTTTTTTTTAAGTACTTTATAGAGCTCTGATTTCAGGAGAGTTTTTCTGCCATGCTGCATTTTAGGCAGCTGGTAAAGTAAAGTAAACTAACTTAAACTACACAGTTAAACAGACAGTAATATGGATATTCATAACTTTACTTTTTAACCCTGTGTGAACATAGATTCAAGATGTGGAGAGATATGCTTTGAGGAGTTTAGACCCCTGYCATTAGTTTAAATGGGAAGTTTAATGTTTGCAGTTTTTACATATCGTCCTAACTTTTGGTATTCTTAGAATCTGGTTATTTTAAATCTCTTTGTAAATGAAACTGAAGATGATGTGGTTCAGATGCAATGGATGAAAAAATATTCTCTTTTGTTATCTTGAGGATATGCCTTTACTGGGAGACTTCCAGCATGCTTTTGTTTGAGCTGATGTTCCTGAGGCCTTTTCTTTCCTCTTACTTCAGGAAGCTGATCACAAAGCTCCCTTTTTCTTCACTGTGGTCACCCAAAGTCACAGGAAGTTCAAACAATGGCATTCCACTGAAGGTGGCTGCAAATAACCCTTGTTTGTTGGCAGCACAACATGAATATCTTTGAAATGTGTGTAGTTTTGTCAGAACTAAGAGATGCAAAGTATTAGTGGAAGCTGTTTGGGTGTGGCAAATATCTATCTATCTATCTATCTATCTATCTATCTATCTATCTATCTATCTATCTATCTATCTAT